TTTTTTTGCTTTAATTTTATTTTTAATAGTATTCTTAATCTCTGTTATTGAAACTTTCTTTATTGCGACATTTTGAGTAGAGCTGCTCCGTGTAACGTTGCTATCATGCTGTTTTGAGTTACTAAACGTAGTTTCGAAGTACGTTGCAAAAAGTTCAGCTTTTTCGGTGTTAGTTCTAGCCCAAGTTCCATTTGCGTTCCTCAGTGGTGGTTGATGCATTACTGAGTTGTTGATATTTTTAGTAACTTTCAATAAAGAATAGTTAGTGGTTTTGTCAGTTGTTAAGTTCATTATGCGTTTTTGCAGGTTTTTATTCTTCTCATTAAGTAGCATAATTTTAAGTTGTTTGGTTAGTTTGTTTAAGTCCTTTTTTAGTTCAGGGGACCGATTTATTTGCCATTGTTTTCTCAGTTCTCTTCTGTCTATTATCTTGCTTTTAACTGCCATCGAGATTTTATTTTGAGTGTCGTTTTGTTTAAGAACTGGCGTAGAATTTGTCACGGCAACAGCGATCATTTCGTTTAAGTATACAATCGCGCTTTCGATTTCGTCTTCAGATTTTAAGAAAATATTTATTGTCAGGTCAGTATTAAGAGTATCTCTAAACGTGTCCCAACATGTTTTGTTATTATAGATTAATTATGTCCTTGTGATATTTAGTTTTGTATCGCTTTCATATGATAGCATAATTGGTGAGTGATCAGATGATAAATCAGGAAGTGTACTTACTGTAAGAAATCGTTTATTTATATTTTTGGTCACGAAGAAGTCAATCACGTCTGGTATTTTGTTCATATCTTATCTGTGCTTAGAATGTCTGCTTTTTTTGTCAATGATAGCATTATTCTTGAGCCCCACAAAGTATTTTTTGCATTAAAGTCTCCACCAACAATGTACCGATTGCCGAGAGTGTTAAGGTAGCTCAGGTATACATCCTTCGATTTATTGTGTGTTAAATATTATATTATATTATTATGTATAAACAATTTGTTTGTATTATTTCATTTCAAATATATTTTGTTGTAAAAAATAATTTTGTCAATGCAATGCCCAAAAACACGTCATACGCTTTGTTTGCTCATGAAAACAAAAGCGTCAAATTTCGTCTGCAAGAAAATGCACTCTTACAGTTTGTAACAAGTTCATTGTTTGGCATGCATGGTCAAGGTTATTTAAGTTAATTTATTTGTTGTAAATTGATTATTAATTTTAAATAAAAGGCACAATTGAATTTTTGACAATTCAATTGATGCGAAGCCACATTCGTTATTGATTCATTTCTTTATTCTATTAGCTTTGTAAATTTAGTTCAAGTGCTAAATTTACGTCACATAAGCGCCTATTCACTGGATTTAAGTGTTCAGTGACTAGGATAATTAGGACAATCGTCGAAATCTCTGGGTTCAAGTACTCAGTGGTTTTCTTGTTTAAATGAATCAACATAAGTACTGGATTCAAGTGTTCAGTGCTTGCAAATAGTTGATTCCAACGTTGATCAGACATTTTGGTTTGATCGTACATTTTGGTGACCCCGACGTGATTCCAACATTGTGTTTCGGAGGGCAGTAAATAGCTGATACTGTTAACTCACCTTTTGCATCTTGAATATGGACACTTGTAGCTTGAATTTGTTCTGTTTGGTATATACTAGCTATTGAGCATTGCATATTTTGCTTAATAATTACTACTGTTCCACCATGGTCTTTGTTGTCGGGATGATTTGTATGATATATCGAATAGTTCGGGATTTTGATGAAACTTTTATCTGTGAGGTGTGTCTCTGATACCAGTAGTACATCAATGGAATTGATATTTAAGTATGTTCTCAGTTCTAGTAGTTGTTTGCTGAGACCGTTTGCATTCCAAGCTAAAATTTGTAATTTATTTCTGTCCATCGAGTTTGATGATTAGGATGGTTAAAATATGTATAACGTTGGCAACTTGCGTCATAAGCTGTTTCATCATTTGCTGGAGTTCAGCAAATTCGGAGTTGTTTGGTTCATTGTTTATTGGAATGGGTTGAGTTGGATGCGATTTTATTATTTCGGCGTATGTTTTAGCTGGTTGGATTTGTTGGGTTTGTTAGGTGGTGGTTATTAGGTTCGTAACAGCTTTAGTTGGCAGAGATATTTCATTATTTTGAGATGTGGTTTTTGTTGTTTTGCGCGAAGAGCTGGGAATCGTTTGATTTGAAGAGTTTTATAGACTGTACAACCTTTGTAGTTTGCAGTGTGATTCTCTTTACAGAGTGCGCATTTAACGACGTTGTTCTTACCTTTCATGGGACAGTCAATTGTTTTATGTCCTTCGGAGCATTTAACACTTCTTGTACAAAAATTTTTTGTATGTCCATACTTTTGACAGTTGGTACATTGTGGTATTGTTCTTTTTGGATGGGGAGGTTCAAAATTTATTTTGCAGTGCAGTAGGTCTTTGATATTGTATATTTCCTTGCTATTTACATCTTGCATAATTTCGATTGTAAATAGGTTTAATGGAGATTTTGTACGCGGATTTAATACGTTTTGTATATTGCATACTTCATGTCCTAGTTTAGCTAGCACTAATATAATTTCATTTTTGTTACCGGAGTGGTGCATACCGTGTAGGAAGATCTTAAACCCCCTTTCTTCTTTTGGCTTATACGTGTAGTACTCTACGCTCTTTTCTTTAAGAAATTTTACTATGCTAGTGTAATCTGTTGATTCGTATGGCTGGATTTTTATTTCATTATTTTGTAATACACGAATTTCAAATTTAGATATTTGTAGTGCATCTAATGTTTTTATTAGGTTGTCTAGCAGCTGTACTTTTTGCACATAAATGGGTGGAGGTTTTTTATTTTTAGCCGTTTGATTTTGTGTTGTTTTTCTATCTTTAGTGGGTTCTTTATCGTTATCAGTTGCTAGGACAGCAAATCTATTTGTACCTAAGAAATACTCGTTTAATGTGTACTGTTTTTTGTTTTGTTTGTGCTTTTTGGCGCTTATTTTATTGATTTGCTTACCAGGGGAGCTACGAATTCTCTTATTCACTACTGGTGTGTTGAAGCCATTGTTTTTATTTGTGGTTCCATCTTCCGTTGTGTTTGCAGTTCTGGTGTTAATATCAGAGTTTTCCAATGAATGAGTTTTGATGGTGAATTGTGTTGATGATGGTTTGATTGTTGGAGTTTTATGTGGTACTCCTGCTGTATTTGTTGTTTCTCTATTTGCTGGTTCTGTTGTGGTTGTCTTTGTTGGGTTTGCAGTGATTTTTCTTGCAGTTGTAACTGTTGATTTGATTGTAGAAGTGTTGTTTGATTATTATTATTGGATGCTTTTGAAAATAGGACAGCTTGTTGGTGTGTTTTATGCTGTTCTTGTTGTGATTGTTGCTCGCCTCCCCCTTTTGGTGGAGTTCGATTGACCGGCATTACGATAAATTAAGCGATTACCAAAATAGGATATGAAAATATAGTTTATTACTATGAACAGTTTGAGGATGACTGATCTTGTGTTATAACACTTTTAAAATAAAGGTTTGTGTACACACTAATCAAAGAATAGGTTGTATATGCTGTCTCGCTGAATATTTTAATTTTGTTTAATTACTACAAACAGCTTTTTCAGTAATAAAACAAAATAAAATATAATAATAGCTGTCTCTATCAGCACTTTTTGTTTTGTTTTTATATACACAAAACCGCACTGTTCTTTTGTTTGAACTATAACGACACTTATTGGTAACGTTCAAAAATGTTTAGTTTTTGCTGGGGTATCCTCAGCCGTCGGTCCAGAGTCATCACAATGAATTTATATTCGCGGGGACGAGTTTCGTAAAATAAAGATATTTTTAAATTTTCTAAGTTTATTTCTTTATTATTTCAATAAATGTTTGTACAAAGTAATTTGTACAAATTGTACAAAGTGCGAAAGCTATTTATTTTAATTATGTGATTTCAAAATAAAAGAGCTGATTAAATATAACTCGTAGAAGAATAAAATTATAATAAAATAACAAAAAAACTCGATATATATTGTTTACATAAAAAAAATGGATGTATATGCAGTGCTATATATTTTTACTTCGAAGATTTTCGTATATCCAGGCGATACCTAGTTGTGCCGTACGCTGTGAATTCTGTGAGTGATAGCCGTGGATTTGATGGGCGAACGCCGTGATTTCTGTGGACGGGTGTCGTGGAATCGCGTGTAGTTCTTCTCAGGTTACACTACGCACGGACATATTCATAATATGTCCGTGCGATTTCTTGTATTCCTCCAAATAATTTTATATCCTTTGCCGTAAAACCAACGCAGGATTTAAGATATTTCTTATGGTTATATATGTTTCATAGGCATATATAATTTATAGCCTTTGCCGTAAAACCAACGTAGGATTTAAGATATTTCTTATGGTTATATATGGTTCATAGACATATATACTTTGTATCCTTTGCCGTAAAACCAATGTAAGATTTAATAGTTTCCAATTGATATATATGGTTCATAGACATATATGTATATTTTTATTTCCTTTGCCGTAAGATCAACGCAGGATTTAATATTTTCGGCGTAATACCACCTTGACGAATGCTCATTAACTCGCGCCTTCTTAACAATTTCGCTGTCTTAAATACCAATACGCCGGAGCTTTCTTCTAGCGTATTTTAAATTTTCCCGTTCGTTTACCCACTGGGTTGTGCAGTGTAACCGCTGTGCTTACGATCTTTGCCGTGAAGCCGCTGCGCTTTTGTGTTTTGTTTTGACTGTCGCTTGATTTTTAAATTATAAAACTATTTTTACAAAAAAAAAGTGTAAGTGATAAATATATTTATAAACGAAACATGCATGTTAACAAAAATATGAGTGTATAAAACTTAAGTGTAATTAATTAAAAGAATTTCAGTGATTTTAAATTAAGCCGGTACTGGTGTTAAATTGTTTTGGTGGTAGTTTTGTTTATGTTGTAATATTTGCAAAAGAAATAAATTAAATATTGCTTTCCATGTTATACCGTAACAATTAATAAACTCTAGTTATTTTAGTAATTATCCAAATAGAAAACCAGTAGAAAACTATGACGAAGTGTTGCTTGTGATGCGTTTTTGTTTGTAGAAAAAAAACGTAATCAGTGGACGTTTAGTTGTTATTTATTAAAAATATATTTGTAAAATAAATGTGTTTACTCTTCGTGTTGCAATTCAAATTTTATAATAAGTAAATAAAAATTTAATTTTTTCTTATAACATGTTCATGGTGTGTTTATATTTTTTTTTCTCTCTTCAGAGTTTCTTTTCAGTCTAGATATCAATACCCGTGGCTCATCAGGCTGGAGCATCGCAGGTAATGTCAATATAATTTGTGGCCAAATATATTTTGATAAATTTTATATTTTACAGGTAATTCCAACGCTGTTTGATTCATGTAAGTGTTTTATTGTGACGTGTGTAGGTGTCATGTTTTATAGCGACGGTCAGACATTGATTTCCTCTTCTTCTTAGAACATGTGCGGAAGAAATTTTTGATATAAAAATTTGTTTCGTCACAGAATGCCTATTCACTTTTGATTATAAGCTTTAGATATTAATCTTCTGTCTCTGTCAGCTGTTTGAATTTTTTAATAAAGTTGTGCATTAATATTTCAAATTAATATTTTATGCACTTTAAAGTTTTACTAATTGTTTTTTGCCCAAAAATAATCTATTTTTGTGAATTTGTATTAATAACAAAAGTGATATTTATAAGAGTACTTCTTATTTACTTGTTTTTATACTGTAATTTAAATTTCTTCGAGACCGGTTAAAAAACACGTCCGCTCACTACGAAACTTTGACTACGATTCATTCATTCAGTGTTACATTCACTGAATTCCCTAATACTAATGGTAGGAATAATAGAGATAATAACATTGTGCACAGTAATGAATTAGACATTGGCCGTGAATACTTTTTAGGTGGCTCGTCTTGATCTGCGCCTTCGTGTGGTGTTTTCGAATTCGCTTTTGTAAAACTTTTTGAAAGTTGTTCATCAGATACAAGAGATTGGTTATCGGCTGGAAACAGAGACGCTAGTCTTGTCAAAGGACGTCTTAGAGTTCCTGATGCCATTTAAACATCAACCACGCGAACAAGACCGTCATCTCCCTTATATACCTTTGAAATACGTCCAAGCGGCCATTTTAATGTAGGTACATTGTCTTCCTTGATGATTACAAAGGTACATTCTTTTATATTTGGGTTGGCTGATTACCATTTGTGTCGACATTATAGTTCAGTGAGGTACTCGGTTTTCCAACGTTCCCAAAAGTCCAATTTGAGGCGAGAAACTAATTTCCATCTTGTCACCAAATTTATATTTCCTGATTGGACATTTGCATCTGCCATTGCTGTGAGCGGTTCTCTGATTAAGAAATGACCAGGTGTTAGTGCTGACAAGTCATTCGGATTACTCGACATAGGTGTCAATGGTCGAGAGTTCAGTATTGCTTCGACTTCTAATACCACAGTCTCTAGTTCCTCATATGTTAGTGAAGTCGTCTTAGTACTTCGTATCAATAAGTATTTTGCTGATTTGACTGCTGCTTCCCACAGTCCACCGAAATGTGGTGCACGAGGAGGTATAAATTAAAATGTTATTCCTCTTTCATTACATTCGTTAATTATCTTCTCTTGTGCCTTGCTTGTTTGAATTGAGTATGCAAGTTCAATTAGTTGATTGTTTGCTCCCACGAAATTTGTGGCATTGTCACAAAACTAATTTTTCCAGTGTCCTCTTCGAGCAATAAAACGTTTCAGCGATCCGATGAATGCATCTGTGGTTAAATCGCTAACTACTTCGAGGTGAACTGCCTTAGTTGTAAAACAACAGTACACAGCAATATATGCCTTGTGTGGTTTCTTGCCTCGGATTCTGTAATGCATCCAAAAAGGTCCGCAAAAGTCCACTCCAGTGGTGAGGAATGGTCGCCCACGTTGTACTCTTGTCGCTGGCAAGTTACCCATCATTTGTTCATAAAATCGTGGTCACACTTTAGTACAACGTACACAATGTTGTACTACTGACCTTGCCATCAATTTGTACTTATTTGGCCAGTATCGTTGACGCATGTTAGCTAGGAGAGACTGCGGACAACAATGAATGTATTTCTTATGGACTTGTTCCATAATTAATTTGACAATGGGGTCATTATAAGGCAACAACATAGGATGTTTTGCGTCATACAATAAAGAGGCTGCATCCAAACGTCCACCAACTCTTATGATGCCCTTATTATCAATATAAGGTGCCAGTGATGCCAATGCGCTGGACTTATTTATTCTTCCATCAGATTTCATAATTTTGATTTCATTTTTGAATTCTGCATATTGAATACTTTTGATGATGACCTGATGTGCTGCATCTAGATCATCAGGAGTCAAAAAATTGCTTGAATGATCATTTTGTATTCTTCTGGTTCCTTTTACGAATCTTAATATATGCGATAATATCCGTTGAAGTCTTCCAAATGAGTTGTTGTGTCGTATTGAGTATATGAACTCTCCAGGATTTGCTGTCCATTCAACAACAGACAATGTAGATACTGGAGTTTCCTTCTTCCGTTCAGGATCAATGAGGGTTTCGGATTTTAACGCTGTTGATGGTTTTGAAGGCCACAATTCTTCCCGACCATGCAAGAACATATGTCCATAAAACCACACACTTGACGACTGTAGTTTATGGGGTGCAAGGACTCTTGATAAAATGTCAGCTGGATTGTGTTCCGAACTGACGTGGCGCCACTGACTTGTGGCTGTTAATTGATGAATGTTGCTTACTCTGTTTGTAACGAAAGTGTGAAACTTTGATGATGGAGAGTTGATCCATGATATCACTATTTGTGAATCACACCAAAAGAACGTCTGGTAATTTCTTATTTGTAGATCGTTCTTTATTCTTGTTGCTAGTTCTGCACCAACCACAGCTGCACAAAGTTCGAGACGAGGTAACGTCAACCTTTTCAAAGGTGCAACCCGAGATTTGGCGCACAATAGTCGTATAATAATTTGACCATTCTGAAGTGTTGATCGCAAATACGCTGAGCGCCATATGCCTTTTCTGATGCATCTGTAAAGATGTGTAATTGAATGTTGGCATGAACTTCGCCTTTGAAAATATGACGAGATATCTGCAGACAATTTACTTTTGTCAAATTGTTCCGGAACTCTAACCACTGTTTATGTAGTTCAGTCGGCAGTTTTTTATCCCAATCCATCTTTAAATTCCATAATTCTTGAATAAAGATCTTTGCCATCACCACAACTGGTGACAAAAGTCCTAGTGGATCAAATAGCCTTGCTAAATCTGAGGTTGCGCTGCGCTTCGTCGTGCTGCAAACAGGTTCCAATTTAACCTTGTCGCATAAACTATCAGATTTTGGACACCAGGATAATCTAAGAGTTTTTGTTGTATCGTTATTGTTTTCTAAGTCTAAATTGACTTCTAAGTCGTCGTGTGGAATCCCTTGTAGTAAACTAGGATGATTTGCGCACCATTTTCGCAATTTAAAACCGCTTGCTGTCAGTATTTTGTTTAACTGACTCTGAGTTTCCAACAATGTTCTCAAACTATCTGCCTCGTGTAAACAATCATCTACATAGAAGTTTTCTTTGAGAACAGATGCACCTAATGGATAATTTTGCATATTCTCATCAGCTAAAGCTTGCAAACATTTGGTTGCTAGATATGGTGCTGATCTAGTACCATATGTTACTGTGTTGAGTTCAAAGAACTTTATAGGTTGTCTTGGTTCATTTCTCCAAAATATATGTAAGCTGACATTGTCTGTCTTCTGGATGTACAAGTATTTGTCGGTACATCTTTTCAATGTCTGTTGTAAGCACATAACAAGGAAGACGGAATCGTAATAAAATAGACAATAATTTACTTTGAACAGTTAGTCCGATGTGTAGTAAATCATTGAGAGATTGTCCTAAAGTTGTTTTGGATGATGCATCAAATACCACACGTAACTTGGTAGTGGTACTGTCAGGTTTAAGATTACAATGGTGTGGGATAAAATAATGTGGTGACATAGTCCTTTCAATATCTATTTCGGTCTATATGCCAATTTTTTATATTCATCTAAAAACTCTACGTATTGTCGTTTGAGGTGACTATCCTTTGAAAGTTTACGCTCTAATGCTAGAAATCTATTTGTAGCAATGTCTTTCGAGTCTCCCAAAGCGAATCCGTCATTTATAAAAGGAAGACGTACGATGAATCGTCCCGTAACATTCTGATATGTAGTTTGAGTGAATTGAGCTTCACATTGTTGCTCTGCTATTGACAAAACCTTTGAGTGAGTATCAACTTCTTCAACCTTCCAAAGTTGTTCTATTGCATTTTCTAAACTATCTTCTGATGCTATTCCACATGTCGCAATCATTGCGTTAGCATTTTGGATTTTTCCAGATACGATCCATCCAAGCAGTGTTTTGTAGAATTTTTAGTTCCCTTGAAAGTTGTCTTTGACCAGGACTTAGGAATTGATGATAAAATTTTCCTCCAAGCAACATATCAATTTTGTCAGACTTATAGAATGTAGGATCTGCTAATTGGATATTACTAGGCAGATTCCAATTTGAAATTTGTAAGTGTTGCGATGGTTGATTGGAAACAATTTTTGGCAAAACAAATGCTTCAAGTATTGTTTTGTAATTGGTCACTTTTGATTGTACAAAAATTGTTGTACAACTTTTAGAGCTCAATTTACCTATCCCTATGCCTTCGATGCAAATCGAACTGGAGCTTACTTGCGGACCCAATCTGGATGCCAGTCGTTCAGTCACAATATTTATTTGTGAACCTGAATCCAGTACTGCTCTGCACTCGACTGTTCGTCCATTAGAGTTAGATGCTAAAAATTTTGCTGTTCCCAGAAGAACGAAACTGGTCTGATTAATGGATGACATTAGAGTTGTTTGTGCAAGTGGCCTTGAAGATTCAACATCAATACCTTGAGCTGCTAATCCATAATAACATTCTTTTGTAACATCATGTATGCCCTTAAGACTGCTTGATGATTCTATTGTTATATTTGGTTGTGATAACAATTTATTTAATAATGTTGTCACCAACAGTCGTTTGTTGTCATACCGGTTTGATAGAATATCCCAAGCTGTATTGTAATTTTGCTCAGAAATTGGCAGATGCCGTATGAGAGCTTTCGGCTCACCCGCCAAATTTGTAGATAGATGGAACATTTTGTGGGCTGCACTTATTGATTGATCATGAATCAATTGTTTAAACAAATCTCTAAACTCAATCCATTTCAAATAGTCCACATCAAATGTGGGCAAAATTATTTTTGGAAGTCTGATTTGCTGAGTTGCTGCAAGCCCCTCTGACGTCAATGCTTCATTTGGTTGACTGTGTCGTTTCAAATAAATTAAAGCATTTTGAGCATCTTTATCCATTAAATAGTATTGGTCCCAAGTATATTCGATGATGTCTTCTGCGTCGGCTGACGACCATATTTCATCATTATTAGATCTTAGATCTTTCTGATATTTTTCTATCAGAGAACATTTTAGATCATAATAGCTGGGATGGTGTTTTATCGTAATTTCCTCATAAATTTCATCTATGCTCGTGCGTAGTGCATGCATTAATGAGGATTGCTTTGTGATGTTTCGCATGAGCGATGTAGCTTTGTTTGACCCTCTTGGGCTTACTACTGGCTTCCCGTCCTGTGGTTTTGGGATTAGCCTTGATTTCTCCAACCTGAATCGTTTATCATATTTGACTACTAGATTGGACATTTTTTCAAAGTAACCTGTACTAAAATACTCGTGTTCGAGTTTAGGTTGTGTTCGAGTTCATTCCGTAGGGTATTTAGCTTCTTTAGTCGGTCTTCATAGTAAATGGAACCCTGCTTCCGGCTACTAGAGTCTTTTTTAAAATTGGTTATCAGCCGCTCTATATCTGCACCGAGCTCTAATTGTTTCCTTAATAACACATCCATGTTGATAGCGATGTTTTGATTTTCGGTCCGAATATCCCAAAGAGTAAATACTTCAGATGCTTGATGAGTGACGTTCACCTCGGGATCACGTCGGGGTCACCAAAAAATGTACGCTACTTGGTGCTAACCCAGATCCTTAATCTGTGTTAGCTTGGTAGCCTATTTTTGTGTGTAAAGTAGTTTGAGCACTTGTAACGCAAACTACTTGTATTTTTTGTGTTGATTAGTTTGAGCACTTGAAACCCAAACTAATCGATGCGAGAAAATGAGAAATGAAAGTTATAATTGGTTTGTATTTCGTTTCTTTTCCTTTCTGAACTTTATTAAAATTATTTACTCTATTTATACACAACTATTTCATATAAAAAAATATTAAATTATGCATTAATGAACAATAAATATTAATGAATAATTCACAAATAAATGAATTTGCCTACGCTGTGCTGACATAATTATAAGCCAAAAACATAACACACTTTCTTCAGTGCATTGACCAACAAGAAAAGCTGATAATGCAAAATTGCACTTTTCGTTAGTCAATGACTGGTCGCAGTGTTGGCTCAAATTGTAAACACATGTAACCAAATATCATAACAAGAAAAATATAAAATAATATTAACTAAATATAAACATAAACAACGACTTCGAATATTTTGGTCGCAATTTATAAATTTATTGTGTCGTCTTGTAAAAATTATAAAAAATTATTGTAATTACAAATTTTCTTAAGTATAAATAAAAAGAAAGTAAATTATAGCAACAGCTGCAGTAACACCCACAACAACAACAGATACATCAATAACAGTGTAGAGGTGTGTTGAATGAAACGCTTGTGTGTATCTTTTAAAACTCAAAAGATTTATTATCTCATTTGCACTAAAATTAATAAATTAATATGTTCGCTTGTCGCCTTTTCTCTACATACATTTTTCGTCTAATAGCAACTTTTCTATTATTCATTCCTATTATGGACGTTCGTTCATGTACATGGATGTTGTATGGCCGCGACGTCACTCCCCTTTGCGGTTGAATGAGAAATGTACCCTTCGACCATACCTGAATATGTAGTCTTTCGTCAGCCGTTTGATCTTGTTATTGTTGATGTCCTTCTTGGCGATAGAATTGTTATTTTCGTTATCGTTTACTCGATCAACGCCGTCACTTACGGTGCTCTGAGAATCGTTAAGTATGAAAGCTGCTTTCAACCGATCAACACTGATGTGGCTTTTTCGGTCATCTACTTCGATCTTAAAAAATATTTTGCTGTTCTCAAACACTGGATGCAGACCTTCTTATGGCGGTTGCAATGGTTTGCGAACCATTGAGTTGTTAACAAACACGAACGGTGATGTAAACAGATGGTTTTCAAAGACTGTCTTCTGTTTTGCATGATTGAACGCAATTGTTGGTTGTAGATCTCTCATTCGCTTTAAAAATTTGGTAACATCATTGCTTTGCAGTGATTTATCGCCATATACAGTAACGAGGAATTCACATGGTAGTCGTAAACTGCAGCCGAAGGTTAACTGAGCTGGAGATGCGCATATGTTTTCTTAAACACCATTTCGAAAACCCAATAAATTTAGCGGTAACGCATCGGCCCAATCATTAGATTGATAGCATTTTATGGCGCCTTTAAATGAGCTATGAATGCTTAAGATTTTTGTCAATTCGTTAAACAATAATAATTGAAATTAACGACCTTGGTCTGTTGTGACTCATAACGGTGCTCCAAGTCTTGCTATCCAGTTGCTGTAAAATGCATGAGCGACTGCTTATACGGTTATGTCTTCAAGAGAACAAACTTCCGTCCATCGTGTGCATTGATCTGTCATCGTCAAGAAACAGCGAAAACCTTTGTACTCGGGCAGAGGTTCGATTAAATCAATGTTGATATGCTATAATCTTGCTGCGGTGCTTCATTATGTTAATGCGTTTTCGATCTTTGGCACCAAATCCACGCTTTAGCCAAGGTATTACAGTTTTTTTCAATGTCAGACCAAACGAATCTTTCCGCCATCGCCTTCGTTGTACCCTTAATTCCGGGATAATTGATGTTATGTAGCGAGTCGAAGAAAATTTTACGTAAATTCTTAATCACAAATAAACGTATCGCTCCTGTGGAAATATCGCAATATACGGAATAGATCGTTCCAGGAATATTGAATCACTTTAACTGTAACACGGAATCTGGTGTAGGAAATGATTTAAGCTCTTCATCTTCGTTCTGCTGTCGAGCTAGTTCTGCATAATCAATTGTGTTGTTTGCGTGAATAGTATCGATTCCTGATATTCATTTGTGACAAAATTTAGATTTCCCAGTAAATATCTTATGTCTGACGTAAACTGCCCACTTTTTCTAAACTCTGTTCGAACGCATATAATAGGGGTTTGTGGTCGGTCAGAATCGAAAACTGACGATTTTCCAACATATGCTAGAAGTCTTTAATGGCTTTGTAAGCACTTAGTACTTCCCTATCATAGATGCTGTACTTTGCTTGGGCGTCATTTAAACGTTCGGAATAGAATCCCAGTGGTTGCCAGTTGTTATTTATTAGCTGCTGTAGAACTGCACCTGTTGCTATGTTTAGTGCCTCAACCGTTACTGCCAGTGGTGTTTTAGATTTTGGGCAAGCCAACAGTATTGCTTCAGCTAGTTGTTCCTTGCATTTTTTTAAAGTCATTCGCAGCTCATCCGACCAGGCAATTTTTGTCGTGTCTTTCTTTTTACTGTCATTTAGTATTTCTGAAAGTACAGCCTGTTGCTCGCAGTATGACGTAGGAATCTTCGGAAAAATTCACCATACTCAAGAAGCGTTTGAGGTCCCATTTTCTATCTAGCAATTTGTATTCGCATAGTACCTTGACTCGTTCATATGGTGCTTTAACACCGTCTTTGCTAATCGCAAATCCTAGAAATTCTACTTCCGGTTTTTCGAATACACATTTTGATGAGTGTATGATTATGCCGTGCTCTTGTGGTGTGGCGAAAACTTTTCTTAGGTGCTCGTCAGCGTTTCTTGAAGAAAGCAATACGTCGTCCAGATATGCCCAGGCAAAATCAATTTC